ACTATACACTCATCAACTCATTTTACAGACGATCGATCAGCAGCAAAATGACAACACTCCATCAGCGGAATGGTCGATGCGATCGGGCGATATAATCCAGAGAGAAAGTATTTATTTTCTCTGTGTCTAAGCCACGTGATCGTTCACGCAGCAGACAGACGATGGCGACTCGATCAGACGGCATCCCAAGGGGCGGCGCCCGCGGCGTGGGGCTCTTGCTGACGAAGATGGAACGTCAGAACACCGCTGGTGAGCGAACAGCCCCGAGGTGAATCAATTTGAAGGCGAGTGATGAAAGAGTTTCGGTGACATCGAGCTACGGGACGACTTTTACAAAACGTATATGAAACCTCATCCCGTACTATATTAAGGAATAAATTAATAATAAGTTTATTCGTGTATGGGAAGGTGTCAATTAATCTGAACATTTTTACGTATTTCAATGATATTAACAATACAATATGTGTTATTGTATGTGTTACAATACTTTACTGTGTCCTGCGTGAACTTGAATGTATGATATGTAATAACAAACGAGATAAAATTTATGATTGAATAAAATTTGAATGTATTTCAGCCAATTTGAAAGTATTGAAGCCAATGTATTTCAATTCATTTATTTCACATCATTCTTCTTTGATATCGATATGAATTTCGTACACTTCATTCCAAACAATCTCAAATAAAATTAGACATAGTGGTTGCAAACAAACCATGTCGTTGCATCATGCCTCGAAATAAAGAGTCATATGAATCATCGCACCCACAGCGAATACGAACAAAGATCAGACAGCTGTTGAATTGCTTAATAAAAGCCGAGGTGTTCGATCACAGAAATAGAGCCGGCAAAATTTTGATCGTCCCGCAGGAGACGAGACGAGGCTCAGGCGTAAGATAAAAGTGTCGAGGGTGATGAGACTCGCGGGACGTGAGCACGCGAGACCCACGTTGTTCAGAGCCACAGATGCTGACTGAGGCAACTTGTAATTGCTTCTATAGAAGATCACGCGAGTCTCCGATGTATCGAGTTCATCTTAGCAGAGCTCGTCGACCAGCGTCCAGTTGGCCGCGGACGACGAGAAAAATGATCCGAAATGAAGAGCATGAGAGACCAATGAATGCAAGGACCCGTTACAAATATGAGGCAATGCGATGAGAAATAAACCGAGAGCTTAATGGAGGACCTGAGCGAAGATCTAAATAAGATATTAGTTGACTTAAATTCCGATAGAGCAAATACAATTTCTTTCATGAATATGGGAATTTAAATCAAGGGGTTTTAATCAGAAAGGAAAATGTAAAATAATTCGAAGCTAATTGATCAAAATTTTGCAACCAAAATGCACGTTTTAAATTTACGCTTTCGGCAGGGTGAATAATGAAACATAAATATAATGAAGACAAGAGTAAATATTTAAAAGGGAAACTCAGGAGACCTGGTGAGTTTAATCCGAACCCAGATTGAACGCGTTTTCGCTTTTCCAGGTGATTTCCCCACAAGGGGAGAAAAGAGGTCCGACGTGTGGAGTTGATGTGAGGGCTGAGGCCTAATAAATGAAGGTGCTTTCCATATCTGCACCAGACTGATGACTTCCAAGACAGCTTCTCGGTGTACAAACGGCCTAAGAAGTAGCGACTTGAAATAGCTCTACATTGCAAAAGCCTAAAGGACAAGCAGTTCTCAGGTTCTGGTTTAGTATACACAAGAGGAGCAGAGTGTCGAATAAACCGAACATCAATAGGTCAGTGAAGTCAAGGTATTCACTAAATTGCAAGTTATTCAATTTAAGAACCAGAATATAAAAAGTAATCAGGCCCGCATTAAGATGGTTTACAGCTTAAATTTGAGAACAGCAAACAGCATATATCGAATAAAAATTTTCTTTAAACGATTTAAGAAGACATATTCGTATATCCTATACGAATATATATATTCCTATATATTCGTTATCCGAAAATTTAATCAAACTTTTACAATAAGTATATTCGGATGAGAAACTTGAGTCACGTCGCATACAAGAACCTCTTTGACAGACCACGAAGCAGCACAAAAAAAAGTACCACATTATCAGTTTGATTAGTACTCGTTCGCAGCTTCTTCATAATGATGATCGATAGCAAAAATTGAGCCGAACACGCAGCGGAGTTTTTGATCCAGATAAGAGAGCTTCGTCTCACAAAGAACTCGTTATTGCTCACCGTCTAGCCTGGGGCCAGTGAACACTCATGAACATGTTCCTGCGACGGGATAAAGGCGCGTGATGAATAAGCGTCGTAGGTATTAAAAAACATAGGGTTTTGACCGGAATTCACACGAAACTTCCTAGTGTTTACAGGAACATGGATAAATTAGTAACCAACATTTTTTAATGATTCTTTTCGTCACTATAGTTTTAAAATGCTGGAAGGAATAAATTTATAATTGACGAGTCTGTTTTGTGAACGAACCACTCCTATGAGTAATTTCCCCCAAGTTGCTGTAAAAATTACAAGCAATTGCTTTCATAATAAATCATCGCAAAATGACCATATGTATCGTAAACTGACGGCACTGACGGTGCATCTTCCATACCCTCCACGCAGCTGCCAGCTGCAGGAACAAAGAAGTTCCAAAGCCGCAGCGCAATTCTCAACGACCGAAATTAGTTAAGAAACCAACAGTGTACAAGATCAACGGCAGATCAATCTTAATTAACGGAACATTATTATAAATTCATGATTAACATTTCGGAGTTTGTATTTCAGTAGAAAATATGTGAGCATCGTTAAAATACGATAAGCTGCCACGTTATGCTGAATATTTACCGTCATATACAGTCATATAGTGTCCATAAAGTGCCTGATAAGACTTCATGCAAGCGATGCTGAAATTGATTTAAAAAACATTTTCTTTTCGAACTTTACACGGTTATAAAGAAATACTGTACGAGTAATCGTCACAACCAAACGAACGAATAAAAAAAAGATCAATACCTTGACGTAATGATTCATAGAACAATTGATGTGGCTGTAACTTTTCCACTGCATTTTACACAAAGATGCAATTCATCAGAAGCCAAAGGCAGGGCGGTTCACTGCCAATTGAAATAAAGCGCAGAAGATCCACCTTAGAACGCAGGAGCTTTTATAAGAGCTTCGTGAAAATAGGTCGGCAGAAAGCGCTCAAGGTTCGTAAGTCTCCAGAGAGCTTAAGCTGCATTATAGCACTTCAATTAGGTAATGGCAGGAGAGACGCTTGAGAACATCCCATGCGGAACACTCGAACGAAAAGCTCCTTAGCAGTAACGCCATGTCGATATATAGGCGATAGATCTGCTAAATACGCAGGGAACCTGGGGTGCAATGTGTCCTGAGAATATTTCAATCACCGGAATGTCGAGTTACGTAAAATAATTGGAATGTTTTAGAGTTTTGTGGAATAGCTGATAGTTGAATTATGCGTACAGAACAGTGCCGAAAAATAATTCCGTTTGAGATAAGATGAATGAAAGAAAAAAATCGCAAATTTTTCGAAAAAATGCTAAACTTCGAGGGAATGCTAAAAAAATCATCACTTAATCCCAAAAAAATTATTATTCAAAAGGGAGTGAATAGCACAAAACCTATTTTGCTCTGTACCGACATTCAGTTTCGCAAGAAAGCATTCTAAATTAAAAAAAAGGTGCATTGGTTTATATGTTTTGTACTTCAAAATGAACCATTATTGTTGCTCCATAAGAGACTTTTCTCTAGGAGTTCCTCAAAACGCCAACTATGAAAGCTTAAAAAAATTGGCTCGCTCTGGCAGCGAGCGTAGTTTCTCTGCTAAAATCATTGCGAAGGATAATTGACGAGATTATGCGGATGCATCAGCAACGAGTGAAGAGGGCGAGCACATGCAGCGGCCACCTTTCAAACGCAACAATTAGGTTAGGAACTTAGGCGCAGCATATATCACAGTGAAAATTTACAGGCGCGTCAGCTTCTGATTTGGATTACCAGAAGCTGGGGCGACTCTAAATTTTGTTACCCAGTGAAAATTTACAGACGCGGCAGCTTCTGATTTGGATTACCAGAAGCTGGGGCGACTCTAAATTTGGTTAGGCGCAGCATCACCAGGTCCATTGACTGCAACGCATGCCACTGAAACAAGGGCCGCTCCCCGTAACCTGACAAACACAAAGAACATTTCTCTCTTTCCGGCGGGACAAATTGTACGATGCCGTCTAAAATTTTGACGCTTAGTTCGTAAATAGCATATCTACGAATGAAACGTCTAATTAAAAGATTTTCAGAGAAAAGAAATTATGCGATGAAATTATATTTCGTGGAGAGTAATAAAAATGATCCAAAGTGAAAGTGCAAACGAAACAAGAATGTGCAATTTTTTATATCGACTTTCATTTTGGATAAATCAAGTTCCTGATGCTATAATTTCTACAGGGACGAAGAAAACGTTGCTTTTAACGCAATTAATTCAAGAATAAGTTTTAATTATTTACTAATATAATAACAAGCTCCTTGCTTTCTTAATGCCTTACTTCGAAACGCTTTAGGTGAACGCAGAAAGGCAATCTGAGCATGAGGAAAGGACACTATTAAAAAATGCCAACAGTTAAGCCTCTTGCAAATTGGAGCATGGAGAAGAGTTTTTTCTTAGGAGCCCTCCTCAAAGTTAGTCTCCCCTCCCGGCTAAATGAAAACCAATTTAAACTCGTTGAAACTGGCGATGATATTACGAGATTCCGGTCACAGCTTTCTGCCTAACGAACTGCACGCAGCAACCGAAGGGATGCCGTCTCAGCGAGTAAAGCGGCAAACCGACGATGACGGAATCGTCAGAATTCGAACGAAAATGAATTTATTTAATTCTAAATCGATGAATGAAAAAAAAAAGAAATTCGGTAATAAAAAATATGCTGTGTCTACTGTGGAAACATATGTGAAAAAGCTAGTTAGGTGAGAATATAGTTAAAATTGAAACTCAAAACGAACATCTAATTTCAAAGATAGGTACTCACCATATCAATGCGCGGCGTGGGGCACTTGTCGGAAACAAGAAGCGCCTGGTCGTCGTTGCGGTGGTTGTCATCCTGGTGGTGGGGGCTGAGAAGCGGCCTGGCGGCGGCGGGACAAGACGGCGCGTAGTTGCAGGCGCCGCCGCACCAAGAGCAGCGGTAGCGCGAGGGCCGCGTCACGCACAGCGAACAGTCCGCATGGCCGCGGTGCGCGCCCAGCACCGAGCATTTGTACAGCGTCAGCGAGCGCGAGTCGACGACGTGGTCGCGGTTCCACACAAGCGTGAGGTGCGCTTCGTATTCGCTGGTCATGGCCTGGTAGCGGTACACGGTTGCCTCGCACACGACGATCCCCGCGCCTTCCTCCACAACGCGGGCTGACACTAGCATCGTGGCGCCCTCGATGCTCACCAGGCACTGGAAGCCCGTCTGGCCTGAATGGGGCACGGGGAGGTTGCGCACCGAGAGAGATAATTCGGTAGGCGCACCATCGGGGGCGAGGAGCTCGTCTTCCTTCCGCCAAAAACGGGGACAGTAACCGGCTCCGTGGGTCGACAGCTGTGAAGGATTCTGAAAAACCCAAATGAACAACGGTTAACGATTATACAAATTTATTCATCTCATTTATCGAATATTATTCATTTCGTACAAAAAATATTACAAACTCAAACATGGCAGAAGATTGTACCGATAGCCATGGAACGGCGCACATCTAAATAATAGCCAGGAAGCATTTCTCTTCATGGCTCGACTCCAATTATTGTCAATAATGTTTCGAAAAAGGAACGATAATATAAGTTTCAGCACAGGCAGGCACATGCACCCACCTGTCTGAGGAGCTGCAGGATGCTTACATTTTCCCCGGACACGACAGTGCCGCCACATGCGGAGCTGTTATGCGTGCACGTGTTCTCGTAGACGCACCAGTTGCAGGCCCACGCGCTGCGCACGCACGAACCGCACGTCGAGTGGCGGCTGCAGTCGTAGAACGCAAAGTTCCTGGACACGAAATCCTTGTTTGTTTCACTGGAGCGGACGGCAAGAGGCACGAGTGTGTGGTCTGTCCTGGGCGGGATGCTGGGTCGGTAGCGGATGGCAGGGGCTGGACAACGCAGGCCTTGATCCACGACCTGCGCGTCGGTGGGGGGAGCCGAGCCCCATACACATTGATACTTGGCACCGGCAGGCAGTTCGGGTAGGGTGCGGATCGTTAGTTTCACCTGGAGGACAGGGTGGAATTTGTATTATGTCGCGGAATTTGCGTTATATTGCAACGGTAGGCATTGATGCGTTACTTTACACACAAAGATGAATTCATGCGACGAATTTTGTATGAACTAACATTTGGAAATCAATCACGCTAAAAACCATAGGATTGATTGGTGTACGTAGAGCTTTGTTGAGGTTTGATCGAAATAGTATTGAAACCTCAATAAACGTAAATTGAGATCAGATGCAGAATGAAATTTTCCGTTGCAAATAAGCAGGAAAAATCTAAGTTGTAGTAACTTCGATTACAGAGGACGTCGTAGTTCAGCGAGTGCAACGCCGAACGGCTGTCACACTTAAAAGGCGACATCGTTGACAAGACGTTGGCCTGCAAGCCAATGTAAAGATTATTTCTAATTAATTTACGATAGCACTAAAAATAATACAACCAATGTGAAGATTGTATCTGATAAATTTATGGTCGCACTGAACCCAATACAACCAATGTGAAGATTGACTCTGATGAATTTATGGCCGCACTGAAACCAACGCAACCAACGTGAAGATTGTCTCTGATAAATTTGTGGTCGCACTAAAACCAATAGAAGCCGAAGCTTGGTTAATCAGAATAACGGTGCACACGGCTGCTCCCGAGATTAAGTGAACTGGGAACCATGCACTAAATTAATGGTCGTCTCATCGGAATGAAAGTGCGCATCGAAAATGAAAATGAATTCCGAAGAAAGCTTGTTCCGATAACCGATATATGGAGGACGGTTCTTTCGAAGTAGTTGATTGCGCTCTCCGGGGAGCTCCATTTAATCAGGTAAAAAATCTACTTTTAACTGCGAGCCCTCAATTGCGATAGCGTGTTAACAAGTGATACGCTCCCACACATACTTCCTGCAAACACCAAGGGCAAAACTGGCGATGCAACGAGACTTCGAAACTAAATTTGTACATTGGCTTACACGGAATAATGGATTGCGGAATACTAAGTACCGAAATATTATTCTAGGATCCACACCAACGGTAAAAAGAAAAATTAAAGTCCAGAAACTGAAAGCCTCATAGAACAATTCATCGTCATTATAAACTTGATATAAAATTAAGGGGGAGAAATCTTACTTAATGCTGGTCTACAATGGTTGCTTTATTTTTCAAGAAGCCATAAGCTCTGAAAGGATCAGTTCAAGAATAATAAAATTCCTCTATGAATTTACCACCGGCGAAATGAATCGTCTGTTACATTTAAACCACTAAAATTTCTCGGCGATTAGTGCAAATAATTCAGAACTAATAATTCAGAACTAGTGTTGACGAAAATAGGTGGCGATGGTCAACAATAAACCTGAGGCAGGCAGATGGCAAGCGACATGTAGATAATTTGTTCATAATATTCCTATTTTGTTAAGTACCGCGAATAATTTGGGATTCTGAGTTTTTCCTATATTATAGACCGGTGAACGCACATTCCGGAATAACGATCAAAACGTCCATTGACTCTAGTGAGCGAAGAAACCCATTTAAATGCAAATAAAATACGATATTTTATGCAATAGATGTATAAGAACAGCGATGGATGTCCACGATCAAACAGAAACACCGGGAGGCAATTGATTCAATCGATCAAAGAAGGCGCGACAAGTCTATCATTAGGAGGAGAGCGTAACTTGGGCTCTCTTCCTTTGCCACTTATAATGAGGCCAGCACGAAAACTGCATGTAAATAACGCTAATGCCCCACAACGTGATGAGTGTGATAAGCAGGCGTAAGTGCAGAGAATTGAATATAATTGAAAAAAGCCGCCTGTCTAAAATATTCTTAACCGAGTATATATAAACCGGTTAGGGTCGGCAAGTAAAAAAGATTATCATGCGCGGAGGAAAATGCTGAGGCATGTCAAGAGCGGTGATTGATCGAAAGCTCTTCAGTTAGTTTCAAAAACAAATTGACGAATTGATGAGAATGAAAGCTTCAAACTTTTATATAGTAAACTTCAAAGATTGTCGGAAACTTTCACGCAGGCAACAAAATCCAGTTGAATTTCTTTTTACAATAAAAAAATTTTTTATCCGACAAGTAGCGTGAGAAAAATCTGCAAGGCAAAGGACTTCTGCTATTCTCAGTTTCATTACAGCTGCAGCAATGATATCGTAAAATATTACAAACCAAACAAGTATCACTGCCAATAACATAGCTGTAATATTCAGGTATATTCATGGTGTTTTAGAATTTATAAAGCAGAGGCTAGAAAAATTGCACTTTTACGAATTTGTCGGACTTGACTAGTTTTCAGCAATAAATATACAATATAATTTATATCATAAATATAAAGAATAATTTAATAATAATAATAATTTATATCATATATATAAATTAAAGAAAAGATTCAAAGCATCAGCAGAGCTCTATCGGGTCGTGAACTTTGAAGGAGGCGTCAGGCGATCTTAGCGCCGCCTGATAACGACAGCAGCTAAATGGAGCGGAAACTTTAATCGATTTACTCTTGAAAGGAACACTTGAATAGATTCCACAGTCGTCACTTCTTAAGAGGCGCTACGGGAATAATGCAAATCATGTGATCCTCAGACGCCCTCAGACAGGAATTCTAGAATTTTTGCGAACAAGGGACGTAAAGTGAGAGATCTATGAGAAGACTTGGCGACAAACTGAACGATCGATGGAAATGACGAAAGTGTCAACTCCAACGCTGGCAGTTTGAAATTCGAAGGAAGGACAGCTGAACTAGGCAGCGCCCGCCTCAAGAACCGAGCGGAATGTAACCTTTAGAATATCCTGAATAATGAAATGCACAATAAATTTTCCTTGGTACGAGTACTCAATAAAGAGACCAAATCAATATCCATTACCTAAAAAAATAACATTTACACGATCGTGGAAATGAACGTTATCATGCGTAATGTTTTACGGATCAGTAACAATGTAAGTTTTTTTCAGAATTGGGTGCCGATTTAAAATTCATTCACTTGCAATATGAAATTGAACGTGAACAATAAATTTGGAACTGATTACTAGCGTGACTGATCTCAACAAAAATATAGAAAAGAATCATTAATGCGAAAAATTTAGAAATTAGTAAATTCAATAGCTTAACATAAGATTTTCTTCACTGAAACAAAATATTCCAAGTGAAACAATTTACAAATATAATGTAATTAAAATTTCAACCTTAACATCAGTTTACAAGTGAAAAATGGAAGACTAAAAAATGTTCAAAAACACAAAATTTGATTCGCATCAAGTCAAATAGATAAAACCAGATATATGCAAGAAGTAGTAGAGTAAGGAATATTATAGTAGGGAGAAGTAAAAGGAAGGAATAGTATAGATGAATGCATAATACTAACTGTGGCGAGTTGATCCAGCGGCAGACGATCAGGCCTGATGCGCTCGAAGTCGATGCACTGCTGGCCTGCGCCGAAGCTCAGCCAGCGCGGAGATGAGAACGATGCCTTCTGACACGCTGACGCCACCGTGCATCTGAACACAACACACAAAAAAGACATTACTATATACATAAGGAATAATATACATTGCTTAACACATAAGGAAGAAGATACATATTAAGATACTTTTCAATATAAATCAGGAAAAAACACGTTAGTACAGAAATCATGAATAAAATACAATACCATAATGAAAATGGACAGAGATCACGAACAAAATACATTTGAACATGAATAAAAAAATTACATTACTATACCGATCGGGAACAAATCGTTATTATAATGACATAAAATTCTAATCAAAATAGATACTCCGAGTAAAGATGTTAAGTGAAGGATTAGCAAACAGAAATATGTGATAGACTTGTCTAAAATTACAATACAAAGACAGACCGAAGCTTCAGAAAGGCGATGTCGCTGCATGAGGATCGAATCGAAGGATATAAGAGCTTAAATAAAATCCACGACATATTCCGGGATAATCAGACTAAGGGCACATAAATAACCTATAATTACCGCTATACACCAGGATAATTATGGAAACAATGCATCTCATAGAAATCATGGTCCCATGACATAAGATGAAGCAAGGAAATATAGGGTAAGTGCAAGTCTCGGGTGTCGAACGTCAAAGCAAGATAAATTTACGGCAACGCATGGATCATTGGGACGTCATGGAGTTCCGGTCACAACTCGTGTGACACCAGAAATCAACTCGTCGTCTCCCTCGAAGTACGTCAATTTGCAATGCAAATCGCATTACCACTCGCCATAAATCGAGCCAACACAATGGCCTATATCTCTACGATTGTCCCCGTGTTGCTCCCAAAGAAGTTTTGTGCTAATTCGTAATTCTGCTGACTCGACAGGAGCATCAAGGCTCTTGAGGGAGGAGACGAAGATCCGTGGTTCGAGATCTCGAGGTTGAACACAAAAAAAACTGAAATTGCCTCAGCACGGGGAATACGCGGCATGAAAATCAGGAGACGGTTTGCAAGATCTGCACAGTCTAAGACAGCATTAGGATTTGTGGGCGTTAATTCCGATTAATTGTAATTATGATGTTTTAATTATGACCCTTTGCTTACGAAAAACTTTACCAGCACACTTTTTTGGTAAAATTTTAATATTCTTCAGCGAATTTCAATTCAAAAGGCTGGTTCATTTTGTAGTCTGCGGCAAGAAAAAATGAGGCACAAGACAACAATACAGCGTCTTCCTCGCCGAAAATTACGAATCGAACGGTTTCTGAGAACTCAGAGCATCTTCGACAAGACGCAGAAAAGTGTTGATGAGGCATCATGTTTTTCTCAAAGAAAAAATCATTTCTCGGAGAGGCGCGAAAAGAAGCCGCAACGGATGCTGCAGTCGGTTTCCCATCAGCAGAGTTTAGAGCGACGGCAGAGAGCGGAGATTGCAAACATCTCTATTACCTTATGGGATCGAAATCAAGTTGGCGTGTCCAAACTATACCAACATAATATTTTTGCAGACAACACTGTCGTTACTTAGGCGGCTTGAGGGTCGAAATAAAAATCTTGGGACGCGTCCAAAGCACTTACACAATCTGGCGCTGATCATTCCTTATCTAAAGATCCACTCAAGAACCGAAATAGAAGTTGCTCGCAGATAAAAAGTTAGCAGAAACCCACAAAGCGGTAAGTCGATAAAACAAGTTCCTCCTTCTAAGTCTCGGCACGACAAGCCATTGAAGCGGCAGAAAAGACGGCAGGGAGACAAACTTTAATTTCCATTGTAATGAGCGGCCAAAAGACGTTTCATTTGCAGCAGAGACCGTCATTCGCCAAGCAGTATAAGTAGGCATCACCCTCAGTAAGATGGTCTAGAGTGCTGCTAAAATGAAACAAAAACCGGCCTGATTACTGGTACTTATGGCCCATTTCAGAAAAGAATGCTCCGACAGATAAATCGCATCAACAATAAGTATTTCCATGAAAAAATAATTTCACAAAAAAGTAATGCCCGCGAGCAAATGGAGATACTAAAACAAAATAATCTTGAAACAAAAAAGAAATTAACATTTTTGATACAGGCCACACAAGCGGTCAAGAGAAACTGCGCACAATCCAGCGTACAGCAGCAGTCAAGAGAACTGCGCACTATCCAGCGCACAGCAGCAGTCAAGAGAACTGCGCACCGTCCAGCGCACAGCAGCAGTCAAGAGAACTGCGCACCGTCCAGCGTACAGCAGCAGTCAAGAGAACTGCGCACCGTCCAGCGCACAGCAGCAGTCAAGAGAACTGCGCACCGTCCAGCGCACAGCAGCAGACAGCTCGAGCCGACACATTCATTGTATGGGGACGACCGCAGATCACGAATGTTTACAAGACAGCTCAGAGAAACCTGACAGGTCGTGCAGTTCAACAACACGATTGCCGCTCGGATTGACATCGAAAAATATTTTAACTTGATTTTCGAGGTGGCTTTACGGCGATAAAATGAGAAAAATTTCCTGGTTTCCCAGACTGCGGGATAGCAATAGACTTAATTGAAGCGCCTGCAAATGCATTCCCAAAACAAAGACCGACTTGATTCGCCGATAAAAGGGCAGCAGGAGGACAGCAATCAAACAATGAGATGCAATCGTGAGGTTTAAGTACGATCAAAGCGTGACAATTATTCAATATTATAACAAATATTTGCAAAACGAACGATAAAAATTCATCTCTCAGGAGGTAAAATTCATCCAGATAAATCTTCGCTGCAAACTTCAAGATAAAAATTTCCACATAGACAACTCTAGGAAGCAATAAAAGAATTTACATGCAATTCCTCTGAGGACTGATTTTTTGCAATGTATTGCAGTTTAAAAGTTTTCAAGGGTTTCGTTTCTGAAAACGATACGAAGACGATCGTATGTTGCATATGTAGTTGAAGCATATGAATGTAAGTTATAAACATTAAAGAAGAGCCAATCTACGTCGGCAGTTTTCAACTTCTACGGAGAACAAACCCGAAATAGAGTACACAAATGGGCGCTTGTTTCATTCAGCACTAAATCGCGTTCAAGCAATAAATGGATCACTCTGTAAAAACGCTATCTTTTCCGTTAATAAATTTCAAAGCTTTTTCCCGTTAATGTTGAAATAACTTGGATTTAACACAACGGACTAAAGTGTAGGTCAGATTTCCTTGCGATTTAAAAAGTAATAGAAAAGCCGCATTTTGCGATCGTCAATTAATACAGCTGCAGGCTATTTTATTTTAATAAGAAAAATCACGTAAGTGGGTTGCGATCAAAATAAATCATGCAAGGACATATACGTACGATTCTAATTTTATCTCGGCTCATCCACTGACAATTTTACTACTAAAACAAACCACGACAGCTCCGATTCTTAATACTTTCGAAATAAGAATATCAAGGTGACGAAGTTGCAAGTAAAGCGAAAATAAGAACCTCGTCTTGAGTGTCGCGGTAGAGCAGAAAATTTTCGGCAGGAAAGGCGGAACACAAAGCCGCTCGCGGAAGGCGGGCACATTAGTGTCGGACAGGCACAGGTGTTTCATAAATTTAGGAGCGGGTGAGTAGCTTGCCATGCATTGCTAAGCAAGCTGCACACATTCTCAGAAAAACACCGAGCCCGACTTAGCGACCACTAAAACATATGAACAGTTTGCAAGATTTTAGATTTCATTAACAAAGGTCGGTAAAGAACCTAGCAGTTGCATTAACAAAAAATAATAGGCTATGGCTGTGAACATTACGACATTGAGGAGAGGAACACTGATCGAAGGCATGGAGAATTTAACTGAACGCTTGAATAAATAAAACAGTCAAAAGACAGTTGTCGGGAAGCAAATCGCCTACAGTACCCATTTAAATTTTTTTTTAAATCAACGTTAACTCGAGGGCTACGGAACAACGTTCAGGAGTGAAGCTGTTACAACGACCAATCTAAGAGGGTGCCTATTCGTCCATTCAAAAGTGTTGTTCAAGATTCAGAGGGTTCAAAGCCCATCGATGCGCAAGACAAACACGGAAAAGGAACCTTTCAGACAGGAATAACTCGTAGCGGAAAAATTTCCGGCCATCTCCGACAAGGCGAAGGAAACTTAAAGTACCAAGCAGCAGAACAACATAACATGCAACTCAAAAGCGGCACTTTACATTCTTCCCACGAGAGCTTGAAGACAATAGCAAGCCATATTTTTGTGCTATCACACAAGTCTATTTAAGGCAGCATAAACAAAGAGTAGTAAGTGGAGTCACAGAGAGCTCGAGGCCCAAAATGACGCTTGTCTACAGATAGTGCCAGGTGATAGGGTGAGGCAGAGGGTAGGCCTCGGTCGTAACTTTTAGCCGTAGACGCAAATGGAAGTGTTGGGGTCTATAGGAATACGCGAATTCAACTTAAATCACAAATTAACGCGGTCTCATTGAAGGTTTTGTAAGCCTAGCCAAGAAAACTGGAGAAATTGAGGATGAAAAATGTAACACAACATTGCAATTAACGAAGAGGAATCGATGCAGAATTTAAGTGAGAATATATTCGTAGAATTTCTACAAGCTACGAATTGACAATAAAGTTTATAAGCAGCTTTACACTGAACAAACATCATTAAAAATGCAATTTTACATGAAAGTTTAATCAAATCTCTTGATGGCATGAATACAATTTAGTCCTATAAGTTGCTTAGCTGGTGAGGTGTCAAACTATCAAGGATTGGCAGGTAGATCGACTTCGCAGCCTGTTAAGGAACACGAGAAAACGACTAAGGTGATCAGAGCGAGTCCAAACCACCGCATGATAATGAAGGCCTCAGAAGCAAATTACTTCAGCAACTTTGATCCAACCAATCGAGATTCCATATTGATAAGCGACCACTGCTGCATATGGAGCCTCTCCAGATGAGACGAGCACGACCAAAAAATAAACAACGAATTTGAATAGAATAGACTTTAAAGGGGATTAGAAACGTAGCTTTATTAGCATAGAACATCAGCTCCAGACCCTTTACGCTAAAACCAACCTATATGGTTGCATCAATACAAACCTGCTTTAAATCGTA